AAATACAATTATCATACATACTAAGCCTGACCCGTAGCTCATTAGTAGCGCACTGAGCTCACACAGTAAGGTCAGTGGTTCGATCCCCGTTACGGTTGGAAACATTGGGACGTGTTTCCTTAAGACACCTCATGTCACTGTTTACCTAGCCGATTGGTGTGGGTCGCATCCTGGAGACAAAATTAACCTAATTTGCCCCAAGTGTTCTGCATAACCAGGGGCTTTCTATACAGTATGTCACTGATGTCAACTATGGTCTGTATAAGTTATATCACGTACTTATAAATATTATTATCACAGCACAGATCACATTAAATCAGTCAACCACAGGTCGTTCTTACACGACTAAGTGACCAATTTATTCATGAATAAACTAAAAGAAAACTGGGAAACAACAGCGAAATAAATGATAATGTATATGATGGTTCCGGTGGGAGTAAATCCTTCGTTAATTCTACATAATTTGTCATCAATGTACTCGTAACAACTGCATCTATTGCAAGGGATTAAATGTATATAACAGTTTGTAAATGATATATGTTAAACCTGCCATGTGGTGATGAGGTGAACCTCCCATGTGATATGTAGTGTACCTGTGATGAGGTGAACCTCGCATGTGGTGATGAGGTGAACCTGTCATGTGGTGATGAGGTGAACCTCGCATGTGGTGATGAGGTGAACCTGTCATGTGGTGATGAGGTGAACCTCGAATGTGGTGATGAGGTGAACCTGTCATGTGGTGATGAGGTGAACCTCGCATGTGGTGATGAGGTGAACCTGTCATGTGGTGATGAGGTGAACCTATCATATGGTGATGAGGTGAGCTTCGCATGTGGCGATAAGGTGAACCTGTCATGTGGTGATGAGGTGAACCTCCCAACTGGTGATACGTAGGGAACCTCTCATGTGGTAATATGAGATGAATCTGCCGGGTGCCCGAAACGAACGTATCGATACAATACAAACCCGCACACAGGAGAATGAAACTTAGGGAGCATTAACTAGTCCAGGTCGGACCGGTATTGTGCCTATATATTCTTTTGTACTTGTACTAAAGAGGTACATGAAGTACTCTAGTGTTCAATGCGGTACAGAGGCAAACAGTCGTAGCTGAGCAGTTACCTATAAATTATGTGAATGGTGGGGGAGAGTACGAGGTGTAGCCCGGTGCATCAACAATGATTAATGGGATGAACAAGTGGCCAGTAGTGATAAATTTAATTGTGTGTTTCTGTGTAAGTCACGTTCATCGCTTAATAAACTGTGAGAGCACAGGGACAATACTGTTGACAGACAAAACATCACACCAAATCACAATGAAAGATTGTGTCTGTATTGTAACAGAAGTCTGAGGAAGAGGTGTGAATTTAGTAAATGTGAAATGTGCGAGAGATGCATCCATGACAAATGTATACTAGTTCGGAGCACGATAATTATATTATATACTGCAAACAATCGCAGACAGGCGATCGTAACTATATGCGTGTTATTACACACTGGTGGTGTTGAGGGCACAACACTGGTGTTCGCGGCAGCACACTAGTGGTGTTCGGGGCACCACTACCCTCACACCCTGGCCCCAACAAGTGCGTGTTCTGTTATTCATACAAGTCATTACTAAAACACGGCCCAGATACAGAGATCGACTTCACCTTTTGACCATACTGGGATACACGACATCCACGATCCCTGTAAAAGTTCGTGAGGTGTGTGCGTGTATGTGTACTCATATATTTGTGGTTGCAGGGGTTGAGTCACAGCTCCCAAGTGTGCATGTGTACTCATCTGTATGTGGTTGCAGGGGTTGAGTCACAGCTTCTGAGCCCGCCTCTTCACTAGTCTCTACCAGGCCACTCCCTCCACACTTCAAGAACCTTATTATATCTCTTTTTAAAGGTAGGTAGGTAGGTAGGTAGGTAGGTAGGTAGGTAGGTGTGTGTGTGTGTGTGTGTGTGTGTGTGTGTGGTGTGTGTGTGTTTATAACAAGGTTTCCACGAGTGCATACTGTCTACGCGACTTTAGCAAGATTGGATAGGGAGGCGTCTGGGGCCAACTGCATGACATACTCAAAGTTATGTACGACAGGATGTAGCAAGTTCCAAGGCTTCACTATAATAGTTCATCCAGGTTAAGTGATGATGTTTATCTTCTTGTATCTCCTTGTTCCTGTTTGCTCCTGTTCCTCCACCTGTTTGTGTCTGTACCTCCACCTGCCTGTGTCTTCACCTAATTGTTCCTGCACCTTTCCGTGCTCTACCTGTCTGCACCTACGCCTGCTTATACCCGCGCCTGCACATACTTATACTTTACATTCCAAACCTATCTCACATCCGCTCATGTCTCACCTGATAATTGATTTTCCTGTCTATTTTTTGTTTTGACAGAGATATCAGCTGAGGTGGGCTTTAATCGCACGATGTCCTGACAACCGTGCATATTTGTATAGCTGTCAATATATGTAGTTAACAAAGTCGATGTAGTTGTCAATGGCCATATAGTTGAGCCTAGACTAAAGGTATTGGCTCTGCTGCCTGATAAACCACAGTGCCCAGGTGCCATACTGAATTCGTTTTATCTTAAGCTATATTATACGCAAATGATCTCAGATTATTTACGTGTTTATAATCTGTGAAAGCATCTTATCTTGTGGGATGCTTCCACCAGAAAACTAAATCACTTAATCTGAGATAAGTGTGTTTGTGCGGGTGCGTGTGAGAGAGAGAGAGAGAAGAGAGAGTCTGGAACACATTCGTACAACATTATGATGTCAACGAGATAAAGTCAGTTGATCAAATGAAAATGCTGGCCCACAGATGGGTCTAACTTCATTCTGTTCCCTACTTATGTGTCTCATAACAATAAAAATGCTTTCAAATGAGCTGATGTATGTAACAGCTCTTAGCTTGTCAATAAAGTTAGAATCCTTAACTTGTAAATAGCTTGTCATTAAAGCTGGGAATCCTTAACCTAACCTTGTCAAACCCTGTGTATAAGAGAGAGAGAGAGAATCGTAGATGCCAGTCGGTGGACACTGGTATCACCGTAACTCTCACAGTGTCCAGGGAAACAGCAGTCAGACCACATTAACGGAGGGTAATACCGGATAATATTCTTGTAGCCTTGAACTCGTAAAATCATTATTGCCTTCCACAAAGTAGCCTTTCTGACGGTTTACTGACCATCAAAGGTCAATACTGGACGATACTTGAAAATACTGAACGATACCTAGCAATACTGGACGATACCTAACAATACTGGACGATACCTAACAATACTGGACGATACCTAACAATACTGAACGATACCTAACAATACTGGACGATACCTAACAATATTGAACGATACCTAACAATACTGGACGATACCTAACAATACTGAACGATACCTAACAATACTGGACGATACTTGACATTAATGAACGATACTTAATACACGACGCCAATGGAAAATTCTTGAAGATAGTGGACGACACATCAAATTTCTTGGCAATACTGGACTACACTTGACTATATTAGAAGATGATTGATAATATTGGACAATACTGGACTACACTGTATTGCTTTCTGAAAGTGAAAGGAAAGCTCGGAGAGGAACATAAATGACAGCACCAACAATAACAATTAACAGCATCAATACGCACAAGTGAACAGTCACAGTACAGACGTTCAGTCGACTATTCTTGCTAATCAGCATACCAGATTCCTTCATCTACAGTACTTGTGCAGGAAATCTTTGGTGAAGACAGAAAACATTAGTTACAGTATTTATCATGGGTCTTTGACATCTTGTGTTAGTTAAATGTGAAATTTCATCCTCGTAAAATGTTCATTATTAAGTGGCGGACTGAGAGAAATGCGTCCGGTGTTTACTGCCTCTTCATCACAACTGCTTGCTCACACCCAAACAAAAAAAATGCACACACACACCAACTGGCCACCTCTGGTAGCTATCGTCGTACTAACGAGACCAGGACTCTCATCTAGTGGTCCAGTGGATTGCAGCATAACTCAAACGTCATGTTCCATGTAAAAGTTGAGAGCCAGGTACACACCCCAGAGAACACCTCACATACCCAGGTGCAATGGCCTACCAGGTGACCTGGTTCTTTAACCCCGGAGTCGCTGCGAGTACTCCGGGAGGGAGGGAGGGACTATGGGGCTGGCAGTACCGTACCTACTATTCTCAACAATGTGGACTTTCACCAGTGGCTCGGCTCCCTCCGCTTCTTTAATTCCGTCATGTTTGCATTATTCTCCTAGTGCATTTTTTTTACACCTTTGTTCTTTTGCTCCTTTTTTACTGGTTTCTTTGTAACTGTTTCTGGTGCGTTTTTTTTACTTGTATTCCTGCTCTTCTTCGGTACTTTTATTGTTTCGTTACCATCTTTATCATACAATGTTGCGTATTCCGTCTAATACAGTGTTGTATCTTCTTATCTCTCAGATACATCGTTGTGTCTTATCTCTCAACATTGTTGAATATTTTACCACCTAATACAATGTTTTATCTTACCATTTATCTAATACACTGATGTATCTTCCTTCATGTTTCCCACACGTGTCAATCCAGGCAAAAGTATATCTCTCATACATCAATCCTCTGTATCCCTTACAACACCATCTGTATTTATCTCTCTGTTATAATATTTTTCTGTCCCGTGAATAGAGATGAATGTACAAAGCGAGAGTTGTAGGATAATGTACTATGTCAACAGAACACCACGCTGTTACCAGTCAATGTTTCTAACACTGTATGAGGTGCCAGGTATTGCCCACCTCACTACATTAGTTCACACACACACACACAATTACACACTATATATATGTGTGTGTGTGTGTGTGTGTGTGTGTGTGTGTGTGGCGCACACACACACATTTCAACTCGCACTTAAACCTCCTTCCAACTCATTCTTCCATTCCTTTTACATCCTTACCTCCATCTACCTTCTGAACACTACTCTCCTTGCTACACACGTCTGACTATCAACAATCAATACTGACCTTTAAGAAGCATCTTGATCTCCAGGGAAGTCCTGGCCTGCACGTTCTTCCTTATGAGCTCCTCAGGTGTGACGGCGTCTTGGAAGGAGGCGCTCACAATCTGCCGAAGATGGAAAGAGGTGGTGTTAGCTTTGGAACCTGGATGAGTATGGTTTTAATGCTGGATGAGTTTATTAGTCAGGGGAAAACTTTAACATGGATCTTTTCATCACATGATGGTACATGGGAAGACTATAAGGCAAGAATGGACAAATATTTTCACTGGCAGACCACATCGCCTCAGCTTGCTTCGCCAGGTACACACTTTTCTTCACGTAAAATTTTAAATGCTAAGTAATAGCTGAAATTTCTTTCTTTCATTAGTTTACAGAGAAGATAAAGATACATTATTGATATCAAAAAAAAATAAGTTCAAGAATAGTCAATTAATTATCGTTATTTTCATATGAGATTGTGAGCCGCTCACACTTGAGCAAGAACAGAAGCGTTGTTATACACCTATTACGTAAAATAAACAGGCGAAAAAAAAACTATACTAACAAAGGAAATAACTCGTGATTCAGGAACTTTTTTCAAATATTTGGAAATATTAAAAAGTTGATGAAAATAAGAGCTCTTTCAGTGGGAAGAATTACAGTGCTTCTGTGCGTAAACTGTTGAAATTCAGCGTTGCCTCCGTTATTGTTTTAATTCTGAGTACTGCTGCAAGGCTATCATCGGTTATCGTAGATCTAGGTTCGGATTTGTTCAGTTATATCAAAGAAAACGTGTGCGCACATACCCATGGTGTCCCAAAGAATGCAAGCATTGAAGACTGAACACTAATGCAAGATATGGGAATCTTTATTAAGGAAACGTTTCGCCACACAGAAGCTTCATTAGTCCAATACAACGCAGAGAGGGGTAAGGGGAAGAGTAGTTTGAGGTAATTAGTCCCTCACTGAGCCTGGAATCGATGTGTTCAGTCCATCACTCTTATAGAAAGTACAGTATATGGCCGGAGAAGTGGCTTATATGCTGTATAAGCAAACATTCTTTGAGCACGAGTCTTTAACTTTGGAAATGAACACTTATTAAAACAACCATAAAAAGTAGAAAGCGTCAGTTAACATAACCGCTCCAAAAGCAATGGCTCCCACTGCAAGTCAATAAGCACCAGCTGAAGCGCAATAACTATTCAGCAACTTCAGCTGAGAAAGATGAGGCGAATACAGACATATCACGGTTTATCATTTGGAAATATTAGAATCGACGAGTATATTCAGTTTGCAAGTAGCAACAAAGAACACTTTTAAGAGGTTTTCGTTAGAAATGGTAATCTGCACCAAAGCTGAAAAGTAGGATAGTTGTCCTGATAGTGTCATACACAACTGCTCGCTCACGCCCAAAAAAAAAAACACACACACACACACACACCAACGACAAATGCAAAAAACAGAACTAGTACACATCATTCAGTTATGGGAACTCTATTTTTGTTTCATGTCCGAGAGCATACCAATCTCTGCTCTCAGTTTCAGTACTCGTATGACCTTCCCCAAACTGAGTCATCTTACGTTTGTGTGATATATAACATGTGCATGTTCGATCTCATGGAAACAAAACAAACTCGCACCAAGAAAAGTTATAGACACATACCCGGTGAGAGATGGAAGGTGAAGAAACCCATAACCCCTTATTGCGCCAGAAGAAAACAAAGAAAAAATAGAAACAGACTTCTCCCCGGCTACCAGACGGGTACCTGAAGGTACGAACGCTGGAGCGCAGGTGGCGCTGACGTGCACTCACCCTGAGATTAACAGAGGAAGGAAAGAAATGTATCTCTCCTGGAAACAAGCTAAAATACATAGCTAATCTAAAAGGCTATATTAATTGTGCTAAGCGTTGCTAGTGTGACTGCCTAGCGTCCGCTGCTGATTACGACACTCAAATCAAAATGACTTCCTTTTAAAATGGGATACACTATAAATTTTCCTGGATCGCTAGACACAATGGCCGGCCGAATACAATTTCTTGTAGTTGGTTCCACGTACTCACTACCTTCGGAACGAAACATTTCATGGTGGGATTGTGGCTGGAGGTAGTAGAGGGGAATGAGGGCTTTCTGCTATACTGAATAACTAATAGCCAGATTGTGGTCCAATTCTCTCAGCAGGTAACCTTAATATCCTTGGCAAGGGCTTCTGTTTTTTCTTATCTTTCAAACTCATTCTGTCGGTCTGTCTCTCTTGCTCCCTTTCTCTCTTTTTCTCCCTCTCTTCTTCAGTATGAACCATACAATTTCCTACCATGCTACGCCTCGTTTGTCACATCTCTCTCCCTCCTGTTATTACCTTGCATCCATTATTTCTAGTTCCCTTCTTTCTGCTTTCGTCTCTTCTGTCATTTACCTTAGAAATTCGTATATTACACAAACACACAAACACATATATACTATCAATGTTTATGTATGTGTGTGTAAAAAATGGATGGGGACTTAGTGGTGGTTACAACAACGAGATTCATATAAACAACACAATCATAGCAGTGTATGCAACCTTGGCATTTATGCAAACAGGCTTAAAGTATTTGCATATTTGTTGTTGAAAATTAGTTTCCTATAAATTTATGAAACCTAACCCAATACAGCCAAAATTAACTTAATCTAAATGATAAAAAATATCAACTGGGGAACAGATGCAAACGTCAACAAAGTGAGGCTGAGACAGTTTGAGAAAGTCCAGAAGTTTACCACTGCTAGTTACTGGCATGCAAACTAAGTAATACATAACATCACTTGATATAAGACGATAAATGATGTAACAAAAACAGTAACAACATCAGTAGCAGAAGCAGCACATTCATAGCCGCTCTTTTTTTAAAATGGTAACAGCATAAAATAAATCAAACTGCAAGAAGACATAGAATTTTGCCTCTTCTGCCTCAGAATTGAACCACACACACACACACACACACACACACACACTGCTGCTCTCTTTTAATATTACACTCAACAATAACATTACACACGCCTCTTGACTCTTGACGCTACACTAATGGCAGAGAGCGAACCAGGAGGCAGAAGAGTAAGGCTACACGAGAGGAACACACGTAAGGCCACACGAGAGGAACACACGTAAGGCCACACGAGAGGAATACTGTTGTGGCCACACATTGAAGCCATAATTGATAAAGACAGAGCACCTCTTTTTCCAATGGTCACATCCCTCCTTACCCCCCCCCCCAGCACATTCCTAGAAATACAATAACCAGCACATTCCTAGAAACACAATACCCAGCACATTCCTAGGAACACATTACCCCCAGCACATCCCTTGGAGACATCCTCACCTCCGTCACTTACCAACAACGGAGTCGTTATTCTGCTTCGTCAAGGTGTAATTATATTTAATCTCGATATTGCTGCCATATCTCAAGCAGAAAGAAAATGAGGGGGAAGAGAGACAGGAAGAATTATGGACAGAAGAAAGCGAGGAGTTAGCACTCAGAGAGGGTTACAAAGACAAGAGGAAAGGTAGAAAAAAATTGAGACTGACAAATGAGAGAGAGAGAGAGAGAATTAGTTAGATTTTGCCGCCGAAGAAGCTAGTTTACTGTGCACCACATACCCATCCTACGGAAGGTAGCGCAAGAATATATTTATGCATACACACCTGTGTGTGTGTGTGTGAATTATATATATATATATATATATATATATATATATATATATATATATATATATATATATATATATATATATATATATAACTGCACCACGCAGAAACAAGCGGGTATATACAGAGAAAGACCGCAGTCGGCAGGACTAGATTCTGCTACTGGGATGGACAAGATTCCCAGGCAGCGCTCTTATCCACTCTGCCATACATAAGCTGGGCAGCCTGGTTCACAAGCCATGTTTCTTTCCCAGCCCGGGCACGTCAGTCAGCCTCAAGCATGGATTTCAAGCTATTTCAATCTCCGTGGTGCATCGATATAAAATCACTTGAGAGGTCAGAATAAACAGAAGGAGATTAAAATAGCTTGAAATCCATGATTGAGGGTCACTGACGTGCCCGGGTTGGGAAAGAAACATGGCCTGTGAACCAGGCTGTCCAGCCTATGTGGCATTTGTGTGGCCGAGTGGATAACAACGCTGCCTGGGAATCTTGTCCGTTTCAGTAGCAGTATCGAGTCCTGCTGACTGCGATCTCTCTCTAATATATATATATAATATATATATATATATATATATATATATATATATATATATATATATATATATATATATGTCGTGCCGAATAGGCAGAACTTGCGATCTTGGCTTAAATAGCAATGCTCATCTTGCCATATAGGACAAGTGAAAATTTGTGTATGCAATAATTTCGCCAAAATCATTCTGAACCTAACGAAAAAAATATATTTCACTGTGTTTGTTTAGTATTAAATTACTGTAAACAAATCTAAAATATATTTAGTTGGGTTAGGCTAAAATAAATTCTTCTTGTTATAATAAGGTTAGGTAAGTTTTCTAAGATTCTTTTGGTGCAAAATTATAAATTTTTGCATCAACATTAATGAAAAAAAATTTATCTTTAAACGTATAAGAGAAAATTTTAGAAAGAACTTAATTTTAAATGAGTTCTTGCTAAATGACCAGTTTTACATATTCGGCACGACATATATATATATATATATATATATATATATATATATATATATATATATATATATATATATATATATATATATATATATATATATATATATATATTGCAAACATTCGCAGACAGGCGATCTTAACTATGCAAGACAAGCCCCCGTGGCTTGTCTTGCATATATATATATATATATATATAATTATATATATATATATATATATATATATATATATATATATATATATATATATATATATATATATATATATATATATATATATAATATATATATACACAACAGGCCTAAGAACTAGACCTCTTGCCTTTCCTCAAAAAGGGGTTGACATGAGAACATTACTGACAAAAATGGGGAAAGGTAGAACTTTTCCTGTGTACTTGTTTTCCATTGAGTAATTGTACCGACAAGATGTGGAAAAAGACACTTATGTACAGTTCAGGA